CCCCACCACAGCACACGCGCACCTCCTGATGTCACAGCACTTACCTTCAATATAGGCTCTGGAACAAACATTTTGTTTACAAACAAGAAAAACTTAACTTTAAAAATTAAATGGGGGGTGAGGGGGTGGGGGGGGGAGAGAAGAGATCAGCCTTCCTTTATATTTTGACTCCACCATTTTCATTTAATGACGGAGAGCGCATTCTCCACGCAGTAAGCCCCTCTGCTCAGATGATCACCCCCCCCCCCCCCCCCCAACACGCACACACGCACGCACGCACACACACACACACCACCAGAACGAGCTGAGGCGGATTCAGGCTCCGCCGCCTCTCGGTGTGCCGCAGCAGCTGACTCCCTCTCTCCACGTCCAGATGGCTCCTGCACACAGATTTGCATTCATTTCCCCCCCCCCCCCTTTACACACACACACACACGCACGCACGCACACGCACACACCCTTTAATATCTCCTGAAATAGCAGGGACAGCTGCATTTGTTGTCAAATACGGTTTAAAAGTGCCTTTCAGGACAGCATCGTTACCTCCGTGACGGGTGTGGACGCGGATCCGTTTTCCCTCTCCAGTCAACAGTATCACATCTAAGAGGATTTGTCTCAAAGTCTCCTAATTTGATAATCAGATTTAAATCGCCCCGGCGCGTGCAACCAGGGGGTTAGCATCTAATAAACGACTTGAAACTGCAGCCAAAAACAAAACAAAACAAAAAAAAAAAAATACAAATAAAAATAAATAAATAAAGGGGCAAACAACGATATAAAACACTTAGAACAGGTGTTTCCTTTAAAGGATGAACACGCTCAAACAAGAAAGACCCTCTCACGTGTTTCATGACTTTGTTTTACAAAGTAAAGTGTTAAAAACGAATAAATGAATAAAAAAAGTTAAAAATAAAAGTCTTTATTTTGTGACTGCGCAATTTGGCGATAGATTTTGGTGGAGGTGAAAGCAACAGCTTATAATTCACTTATCTTTGGCAGCAGCTATTAACCCTCAGCACCAGCTAGATAGATTGCTCAGGATATAGCACACATCTCTCTTCCTCCTCCTCCCCCTCCTCACCCCTCACCCCCACCCTTCTCCTTTTTTTTTTCTTTCCCCCTCTCTCCTTACCACTAATGAACTGAATTGCTCGCTTGTCCCTCTCGGACAGTGTCGGACATGGAAGGCAGGAGGGCTGGCTCTTTAAAAAAATAAAAAGAAGAAATGATTAAGATGTTTCTGATTATTACTGATTTTACGGGACGTGCATGAAAGAAGGAACGCACACGCAGAGGGAGAGAGAGAGAGAGAGAGAGAGAGAGAGAGAGAGAGAGAGAGAGAGACAGAGCTTGAAGTTTGTTTAATCAAACATGCTTTTTATCATTTCAGTGCACAATGAAGGTCTCAAAAATTGCACAAAATAAACTTTGATTTATCCCATTATAAAAGAGTAACTTTTATTCTTTTTTTTTTCAAACTTTATTCTGTGCGCAAAAACATTCTCTTTTATTTTCCACGCGCAGCTTAAAACTCAAAGCCACCAGCTGCTAAATATTCTCACTTAATACTGAATACAGTTTATTTATTATTATTATATGGAATCAATGTTGAATTAATTAATGCGTTTAAATTAACTTGCAGCAAGCTGATGTTTACAAAAAAAAAAAAAAAGAAATTATAAAAAAAAAAACTGATTACTTAAATAAATATATTTCTGGCTTGTATCTCCCGTAAAACATCTGCAAGTTGGGACAAATAAAAATAGCACAATTTATCACCTTTAATTGATTAAAACAGAACAAAAATAGCCATTAATATACAAATTATAGCGATAAATTCTGGATCCGGAGTGCTAACTGTATTATTAAAATTATGCATATTTTTATAATATTAATATTTGTCTCCTCAGTAGGTGAGATGGTTATACCTAGTTGAATTTTCCATATCATTAAAAAAAAATCAAACTCACCAACATCTAGGGGCCTAAGCAAGAGGAAAAAGTGGAAGCGGGTTCTCGTGCCGCACCCGCAAAGGAGCGGAGAGCCCGCTGCCTGACAGGAAGCGTCAGAGCTCCATATATGGTCAAAGCTCCGCCCATGCGAGCGTCACACTCTGACAGCGCCTCTCCCGTGGGTTTTAGAGTTTTGGCTCCCGGGAAAGATTTCAGTCCTCGGGGAAAGAGGGCTTAGTTTTGCATGTTCCCATCCATCGCGCGCGACGCGGAAAAAGAGGGGCCCCCTTCTCCACCTCTCCTGTGTGCGAGGAACACCTCCACTGGTGATCAGCCTCTGCCTGCGTGCATGTCTCGTGGAAGGAAGCAGCGGCTGCAAACCTTTTTCTAGGACTGGGAAGCCCGTGTGTTTTTCTTTTTTTTTAATTTCCTCCTTTTTTTTTTTTTTTTTCGTTTCCCCCCCTCTCACCTCCTCATCTTCCTCGCATTCAACAAGAAGTCCTGAAGGTTTTGGATGCGGTGCTTCAGGGATGTGGGCACTTTGAGAGCAGCAGCATCACCCACAAACACAAACAACTGACATCGATTTTTTTTTCTCCTCTCTCTGAATAGCACCCAAAAAAAAAAAAAAAAAAGGAAGAAGAAGAAGAAGAGGGGAGAAAAGAGGAACAATAGCAACTCCCCAAAAATAATATATTGAACAATTTACTTTTGGATACGGCTCTAAGTCCAGCACTTTGAGAATTGTTCACATCGGACGGACTGAGGAGGGGAGGCAGAGCTGTGGACCAGCTTCCAGCAACTTTCAACCGCCTGCGAAAAATCACAACATTCCAAAATAAAAGCCCGGAAGGATAACGCGCTTGGACGTTTATTTCTTTAATTTCGCAGGAGGCTCCTGTTTTTTTTTTTTTTTTCTTTCTTTTCTTAATTCTTTTAAATTTTTTTTCCCATCCCAAACGCAAATTGTCCTAAATGTTTGGGATTCAGGAAACTATACCGCGGGGTGGGACGACGATGAAGGAGGAACCGCTGGGTGGACTGAACTCCGTGCGCTCCTGGATGCACACAGCTGGGGTGGTGGACGCAAACACAGCCGCGCAAAGGTACGCATGCCAAAAATAACAATAAAGTAAAATAAAAATAAGGAAAAAAAAAACAAACCTCCTCATCATATCGACCCCTTCAATCCCCTGAATGCTCTGTATCAATTACGGTCTCCCAATAAAATGCCCCCCCACCCCCTCCTCCTCCTTCAGCTGTTTTTACCCCCTTCTTTCATTACATCAGATTAGCCATTATTGTGACAAATCAAGAAATCTCTTCCCCTCCGCGCGCTCAAAGCGTGCGTCCGCATCTTCAATGTCTCCATCTCTCTCCAACACACACACTTACGCACACACACCGCGGTGTCCGGTGCTTAACCGAGATGCTCTCTTGTTTTCTCCCCGCAGCGGTGTCGGCTTGGCACGGGCACATTATGAAAAGCAGCCCCCCTCCAACCTCAGAAAATCCAATTTTTTCCATTTCGTCCTGGCGCTGTATGACAGGCAGGGTCAGCCCGTGGAGATCGAAAGGACAGCTTTTGTGGACTTTGTGGAGAAGGAAAAAGTAAGCTCTGCACTTTAATTTCTGTTTTGATTTAAGCAAGAAGAAGAAAAGAAGCAAATAATAATAATAATAATAATAATAAGCATCGAAATGATGGTCAAGGGCGAAAAATGGGGATGTCAGGTGGATTTTACTCTTAAAGAACTCAGTTCGATAACAGAAAAAGTTTCCCAAATTTTTAAAAAACCCATTTATTTATTAAAACAAACTAAAATTGTTTTGTTTATTGCAATTTATTTCCCTAAACTGTTGTCTCCTGCAGGAACCAACCAGTGAAAAAACTAACAATGGAATACATTACAAACTACAGTTATTGTACAGCAACGGTGAGTCCTATAATTGTAACAAAAATTCCGTGTGTTATAATAATAATAATAATAATAATAATAATAATAATAATAATAATAATAATAATAATGTTTGTCTTTATTCGTTTTTTTCTGAATAAAATGATCAAAAGTTCTAATATTAGGTGATAGCTGTTGAAATGTGTATTATTAATTAATGAATTAATTGTTTTGCTCTCCACAGGCGTCAGAACAGAACAGGATCTTTACATTCGGTTAATCGATTCCATGACGAAACAGGTAAGCTGCTGCTGCAAACCTTAACATGTCATGCAAATCGTAACCCCTCTTGAGGAGCACAACAAAACACACACACACACACACACTTGAATCTGCATGCAAAAAAAAAAAAAAAAAAGAGAGAGAAAAGAACAAACATCAGATTGGGCTTGTAATAAGAGGAGTCAGCTTCCATTTGTCTGTTTCTGGAGTCCCCATCAGAGTTTGGGCTCAGTTTGTCCAGCATTAAACATTTAAACTTTACCTCTGCTTCCTATGATCTGATTTGACTCCTCTTGCAAAGAGTCAGAGGTGACGATCTGCTTTTTAAAAAATGTGCATAAAGTTTTTTTTTTATTTGCATAAATGTAGGAGGCTTTGCACAGGTTGCACACTTCCCTGCAGAGTAAATATAAATAAATGAAAACCCACAGTGCATTTTATTTTATTTTATTTTTTTATTTTATTTTTTGCGATTAAACAAGTGGGGGGGCTCGTGGATAGAGCCGTGAAAAGCTCACAGACAACATTCCAGAGCGAATGATCCGAGTCAATGACGCAGAACAAGCAATTTATGGATTTCTGTTGCTACAGCTGCAAATAGCAGCATAAATCAAACCAATAATAGATAATAGTCTCAACTTTTAAAACACACACACACACACACAT